CTTGGTTGCTGTGGTTTAAACATAAATTACACTTATTTTTTTTGTGTCTAAAATTTGATAAAGCAATTGTATTAAAAATGGTCAGATGGTATAAATTAATATTAATGACTGGGCGCTGCATTTTGTGGAAGATCTGCGCAATTGGGGCAACGTATTTGATTATCAACTGAATCCTAAAATCTATTTTATTCTGTAATTGGTTAAAGCATGGAGTACTTTGCATAAAGGCTTTCATTCATCTCAGACCTAAATGCAGAGAGCGACAATGTTACAAAGGAAGCTCCCAGCTCTGTTTTGGCTTCATGTTACAGAAAGCGCATTCTTTCAAACTATGCTCAGTAACAGTTTGTTTGCCAGAGACCATCAGGACTCTCCCGTAGCCAGCGGGGTTAATTGACGGGAATTGTGGAGAATTGGCCAGGAATTCCAGCTTCCTGCACGCTGTTTGGGCTGGGGCTTGTCATATTAGGCGAATACGTTGTAGTTATTATTATTCCTTTATCACCAACATATTGTACAACACGCTGTACATTCCCAGTTTGGAATCCGTACTGTGTAAAGTACCATTGAGTGATTGTGGTACTCTGCCAGCGTCATAATGGCATTTGCTATATAATTAAATTTTCCAAAATCTTTATTACAATCCTACTGTATCATCCGGGTGCATGATAGGCGTTGTAGTCCACAGTAGCAGACCTGTCAGTAGTTTTCTTGCTGACCAATCTCCTATTAAACTGGATTACTCTAGATCTCCTTGAGTGACAGAGGATTGCTGTGTGATACTGTCTACATTAAGTGATTTTTTTTGTTTTGTGAATGAACGTGGGGTGAGTCATTTCTGTACCACGTGACCCCCAGGGATCTGCACTTGCCCAGACGAGCCCTGCCAGCTTGGTTACCTGTGTGGCCACAGGAGTAATCGCATATTGCTTTATTGATGAAAAGGGCATCGATACAGCGCTGGGCACCGGGCGAGACACCAGGATTAAACAATTCTCATTATTTTTACAATGGCGTTAATACTTAGTGCTCTCTCTATGACCGTTACATTAAAATGATTTTGTTCCTCGTGGCCTGAGCTATATTTACCATCTTCCTCTTCACTCAATTTACAGCACGATATTTCCTCCTTAAATGAATTGTGACGCTCTGTGTCAGTCTCCTATTATGGGCTTAATAAATCTATCCCACGCTGGGCGGACAGGGTTCTTTTGGCTGGGTTTTAATGTCCAATCACGTTGGTGACTGGCAGCTGGCATGTAGACTTGTTCCACTGATGTCATAGCCAGAGATTGGTTTTCCAGCTAGGAAGTGACCAGCCAGATCCCCTTTCTCCAGTCACACAAAGACCTTATTAATCTCTCCACTGCGTGATGCGCTCACAAGACGGAAAAGTCTTTTAATAAAATGTTTGTGTTTTTCCCTGTGGGTTTCTTTTTTGCACTTCTGCACTTCGTCTTACAAATAGAATGCTCTGCAACAGTTCGAAAAAATGTTCAAAATGAGATGAAGTTAAACATTAGGGTCTCCTATTGAACACGTCCAGATATTCGAAGAATGCTTTGTGTAATGTTTAAACCCAGCGAGGGGCAGAACCAAAAAAGATTTTATTTATCGCAACAATAATGTATTTCCTGAATTCTATTCTAAGCACTTTAACAGCTAACTATATTGTGGCCCTGAAGTCACTGAAAGACTAGATCACTCCCCTGGCTTTCAGTTCCCTTTTCCTTCTACAGTAGCCCAGCAGCCACATAACCCTGCCTATTCGCAAGCAATTTCCCGAATAGCAACTTAGCGAACGAGTCAGCGGGACTTTAATGAGTTCACCCTGAAACTCCAACTCGGCCACACAGACTAACTTGCCATTAATTTTTCACCCCTTTCCCGATACCCCAGGAGAGCGTTCTTTGAATGGAGCTACAAGGTGGGGAGAGGAACAATCGCTAGCTATGAGCCAGAGGGCGCCCCCCTTCCACAAGCGGTCAGAGACCCCGTTAAAGGACCGGTCAATACCTCTAACCGCCTGGAACTGCTTTTGGCAGGAGACCACGCAGGCAGTCTAAACTTTAATGGTGTGGCGTTTCCACAAAGCCCCACTGATCAAAGCGCTATTTGGACAGATTGGGTGCTCGATTGAGAGCTATTGGGTATATAAAACTTGTGGGGGTTCATAACTGTCTTCCATGTGTTTTGGGGGTTTTACTGCATTCAGCTCTCTGTATCCGTGAGATAATTAACTTACCGGTCCCTGACCTAATTATCTCTCAGACACAGACGCCTGGGTGGGATCACTGTGTAAAGAATTAAGACACCAGACTTGGGGTTTGAGCATAAAAGGCTGAATTCTGAGCAAAACGAATAGATTACATATTACGCCCAGAACGATGTCTCGTCTGGTTACTGGGGGAAAGAGAGGAGAGTTTAGCTGAGGTAACTAGTCAGGTTACCGGTGATCTGCTACATATATTATTACAGCTTATTATGTTATTAAAGCTGCAGCTTGGTGTAGTACAGTAATAACACAGGGAGCCTTAATGACACACTGAGCTGTAATGATACAATAAGCTGTAATGATACAATAAGCTGTAATGACACACTGAGCTGTAATGAAACAATAAGCTGTAAGGATACACTGAGCTGTAATGATACAATAAGCTGTAATGACACACTGAGCTGTAATGATACAATAAGCTGTAATGATACACTGCGCTGTAATGATACAATAAGCTGTAATGACACAATAAGCTGTAATGACACACTGAGCTGTAATGATACAATAAGCTGTAAGGATACACTGAGATGTAATGATACAATAAGCTGTAATGATACAATAAGCTGTAATGACACAATAAGCTGTAATGATACAATAAGCTGTAATGACACACTGAGCTGTAATGATACAATAAGCTGTAATGACACAATAAGCTGTAATGATACACTGAGCTGTAATGATACAATAAGCTGTAATGACACAATAAGCTGTAATGACACACTGAGCTGTAATGATATAATAAGCTGTAATGACACACTGAGCCGTAATGATACAATAAGCTGTAATGACACACTGAGCTGTAATGATACAATAAGCTGTAATGATACACTGAGCTGTAATGATACAATAAGCTGTAATGACACAAGCTGTAATGACACACTGAGCTGTAATGATACAATAAGCTGTAATGACACACTGAGCTGTAATGACACAATAAGCTGTAATGATACAATAAGCTGTAATGATACAATAAGCTGTAATGACACACTGAGCTGTAATGATACAATAAGCTGTAATGATACACTGAGCTGTAATGATACAATAAGCTGTAATGATACAATAAGCTGTAATGACACAATAAGCTGTAATGACACACTGAGCTGTAATGATACAATAAGCTGTAATGACACACTGAGCTGTAATGACACAATAAGCTGTAATGATACAATAAGCTGTAATGACACACTGAGCTGTAATGATACAATAAGCTGTAATGACACAATAAGCTGTAATGACACACTGAGCTGTAATGATACAATAAGCTGTAATGATACACTGAGCTGTAATGATACAATAAGCTGTAATGATACAATAAGCTGTAATGACACAATAAGCTGTAATGATACAATAAGCTGTAATGACACACTGAGCTGTAATGATACAATAAGCTGTAATGACACAATAAGCTGTAATGATACACTGAGCTGTAATGATACAATAAGCTGTAATGACACAATAAGCTGTAATGACACACTGAGCTGTAATGATATAATAAGCTGTAATGACACAATAAGCTGTAATGACACACTGAGCTGTAATGATATAATAAGCTGTAATGACACACTGAGCCGTAATGATACAATAAGCTGTAATGACACACTGAGCTGTAATGATACAATAAGCTGTAATGATACACTGAGCTGTAATGATACAATAAGCTGTAATGACACAATAAGCTGTAATGACACACTGAGCTGTAATGATACAATAAGCTGTAATGACACACTGAGCTGTAATGATACAATAAGCTGTAATGATACAATAAGCTGTAATGACACTGAGCTGTAATGATACAATAAGCTGTAATGACACAATAAGCTGTAATGACACACTGAGCTGTAATGATACAATAAGCTGTAATGACACACTGAGCTGTAATGACACAATAAGCTGTAATGATACAATAAGCTGTAATGACACACTGAGCTGTAATGATACAATAAGCTGTAATGACACAATAAGCTGTAATGACACACTGAGCTGTAATGATACAATAAGCTGTAATGACACACTGAGCTGTAATGACACAATAAGCTGTAATGATACAATAAGCTGTAATGACACACTGAGCTGTAAGCTGTATTATTATATCATTTTCAAGGTCTGTATAATGTCTGTTTCCGGTGGGGTTTGTGGTAGGGCTTCCTCTCTCTCTTTCTTCTACCAACTTCTAGTCCATACAGATACTTTCTAAATTTAGATTAAAATCTGCCTGAGAACAAATTCTGACACCTGGCTCCTTCTCTTAAAGGGAAATGAAACACAAGAGACTAATGTCAGGGTTATTTACTAAACCAGGAAATCTCTCTCTACCAGCAATCATTCTTCATTCCTTCCCATCAACCCTCAGCCAGCCATCATCCTTAATCCCTTTCCATCAACCCTCAGCCAGCCATGATGCTTATGCCCTTTCTATCAACCCTCAGTCAGCCGTCATCTTTAATCCCTTTCCATCAACCTTCATCCAGCCATCATCGTTATTCCCTTCCAATGAACCCTCAGCCAGCCATAATAGAGTATATTAATTTGTAGTTTCATTAAGTTGGTGAAACAGCCAACCACTCTCAGCCAGCCTATCTAGCTCCAGCCACTTCCAACTACCCTCAGCCAGCCCACCTAGCTCCAGCCACTCCCAACTACCCTCAGCCGGCCCACCTAGCTCCAGCCACTCCCAACTACCCTCAGCCGGCCCACCTAGCTCCAGCCACTCCCAACTACCCTCAGCCAGCCCACCTAGCTCCAGCCACTCCCAACTACCCTCAGCCAGCCCACCTAGCTCCAGCCCCTCCCAACTACCCTCAGCCAGCCCACCTAGCTCCAGCCCCTCCCAACTACCCTCAGCCAGCCCACCTAGCTCCAGCCCCTCCCAACTACCCTCAGCCAGCCCACCTAGCTCCAGCCCCTCCCAACTACCCTCAGCCAGCCCACCTAGCTCCAGCCACTCCCAACTACCCTCAGCCGGCCCACCTAGCTCCAGCCACTCCCAACTACCCTCAGCCAGCCCACCTAGCTCCAGCCACTCCCAACTACCCTCAGCCAGCCCACCTAGCTCCAGCCCCTCCCAACTACCCTCAGCCAGCCCACCTAGCTCCAGCCACTCCCAACTACCCTCAGCCAGCCCAGCTAGCTCC